AAGCATAATTTGGTAAGCAATCCATCCTAAACTTGTTGTTAAACTTGAATAGCATGCAAATTCATGTTGAAACCAACCAAAATACATATGAACATGTGTTTATGGTTTGGGGACCCTCCCAAAACCGTGAACACCTCTTATGAGGGTTTTTGTGCCATAAAACCCTTCCAAACCTCATTTAGGGCTTAGATTCGAGTTAGAAACTTGCATGCATGAACTAAGGACCCCAAAATCTTCACATTTGATGTATGAACATGAGTTTACATCCCAAGAACATTCTTGGACCGTAAACCCCCATGCATGAACCATAAACACCTCTTAAGGTGTTAAAAATGCCCTTAATTAAACACCACCAAAAGCGCTAAACGTGTCTAGGACCTTCTACTCCATCATCTGAAGCACCAAATCATACAATAAGGGACCAAACATGATTTTACGGTCCAATAACATGCTTGGACCGTAAACCTTCATTCATACACCTTAAACACCTTTTAAGGTGTTAGTTTTCCCCTAAACACCTTCAATGAACTTCCATGAGTGCATAGAACCTTATAACCTTTCAAGAAATGCACCAAAGCATTCTTAAATGGGACAAACTAGAGTTTACGGTCCAAGAACATTCTTAGACCGTAAAATTATCTCCTTAGACCCTAAACTCTTCGAATGGGTGTTTAAGTGTCCTTAACACCTTGAATGGCTTGTATGTTGGACTAGAATCACATGTGATTAACCTACAAACACCAACACCCGTGAATCATGGACAAACATGAGTTTACGTTTGTAAACTCGTGCGTTTAAGGTAGTAAACTCCCCAAGAACATCTTGATAGACCGTAAACTCCATTTCCAAGGCCATTACAAGTACCGATCACTTCCTAAGCCATGGAGTCAACCCTAGAACTTTCCCGTGTGCATTGTAAGTCTTTTTGGCAATCAAGAACACACCACCCATGAGTTTACAGCCGTAAACTCATGGGGATATGGTCAACGGACCGTAAACTCTCAAAGAGTTTAATTTTGAAGAGTAAACTCCATATCTAGGTCCTACACATCTATAGATGTCACCCGGGTCACTCCGAACATTTGAATTGAAGTGTTTTCACGTCTCAAAGTGTATATTCCTATCTAATTTGTGGTTCAAAGTCTAATTAGATAAAATTGTGTATAATTTCATATTACATAGGAACCTAGCACGTTATCAAGCCCCAAACCGACACATAGCATCCAAACTGACACGTTTTCCCGTCTGGTGAGTTCATACCCCTACCAATTGTCAATGTTATCACTGTTTTTAGGGAGGAATACAAGCAAAGTACAAGGAATACTTTTACTCAAAATTTGTTTTATATATGTTGTGTTTCATTTTACACATGATTTTAACACTGACAATCGTAACAGATAACCGTTGAACTTGCAGAACACACTATCATATTATTTGTGAAAAACATCATAAATTGTTGTATTTTATATTTTAACAAATGGTTTTCCTGCATCATAACAGTTAAAAGCATAACATTGAACTTTGAACATAACTTAGAATATTGTTTTGTCCTCGGTAACACTCCAGAGAGATACGTGAGTGGAGGATCGTCATTTGATCTTTCTATATTATTACTAGTAAATTTGTTATTCCTATAAATTAGAGACACGTCCTCCATGAACACTCCACAAAGATACGCGAGTGGAGGACCGCCCTTGTAACCAGAATCTCTTAGATAGGGAGTTTGACTTAAGTGTATAGATCTATACGGGGCTGACTACCCTGCACATGGCTGCTAGCTACAGCCGAACCGAAAGGTTCAAGGGTGACGAAAGTCATAAAGGGTGATGGACTACTTATTGCCATAATTAGTCTATCGTATGGCTATGGAACTCGCAATTTGGATAACAGAGATTTACTTTTTAGTAATAATGGATTTCAGTAACTAGTTTACTTTGTAGTTACTAGTTTTATATACGTGTTAAAACTAATACATTTTCAGTATACATCTTTCACATTACATTTCAGATCGGTAGCCAACTTTTAGGAAAATATGGGATTTTCCTGGGATAAACAATTGTACATAACCAGAACCGTGTAACATAACAAATGACTAAAGTTTACATAAAAGAAAATATGGGATTTTCTTGGGTCGTAACTTTTTCAGAAATCGAAAGGAAACTCGTACATTTTCAGAAAACAAAACCACTTATGAACTCACCAGCTTTATGCTGATTTTTAAAATGCTTGTATTCTCAGGTCCACATTAGACAGGTATCCGATGATCCTTTTGTCGAAGACGGAGTGCGTTGAAGACACGTCTTGCTTTTGTTCATATATATACATATGTATCACACTTGTACAACTTTACTTTTGAACAAATGTAAATTCTCATATGTAATGTAATGGTTGTTACTTTGCTTACTATGTGCATTGGATTTGATACTCAACGTGGGGTCCGCCCCGGAAATGTTTCCGCCTTGGTTTTCGGGGTGTGACAATCTGTTTGTCTCTATTACGCTTTATCAGTTTTATAGAGTACAAGTGAGAGTTCTGTAAAGACTTCATTACTAAGACACTAGTAAGGAGATGAAAGCGTACAAAAAATATACTAAGGACTAAACATGACGCTTCGAATATTATGCCCTACTAAAATACATTACAAAAATGTTCGAAGATACTAAAGACTGACTTCGACTTATTAGAACGTTTCGATTCTAACAATCTCCCCCTTTGTAATCAAAGTCGATGTCTTCAGTTTGTGAGAAGTGTAATGGAGTATTGCAAAACTCTTCGAACCTCAGTATACCAAGAAATAATTTTCTTCAACTCCTTCTTGTCTCCTTCATTGTTTTTCTTGCAGTGGTTCATATGAACAATCAAATTCGTATATTGAGATGTAGAATATCTCTCCACTTCACTAGTTTGAAATAAAAACCTCTTTGCTTTTCCAGCTTTATCCTTTCCAACAAAAACTATCCCAAATGGCTGAAGACAAATTTCTCCGTTAGCATATTTCTTTAACTCAACCTGTGTCTTTGAAGGATCCATTGGAGCATTTATTTCCATTCCCTTGGCAGGTGCCAACTCCACATCAGTTAGAGCTAGACACTCGTAGTAATTCTCTATGAAGATCTTGATGTGGGAAGCTCGAAGTTTGAATTCCTATGGATCTATGTTTTGAAGAAAAGAAAAAGATTTGTCTTTCAAAAGCAATGCAACTTGTATAAGGTCATACAAGTTAATCAGAGGAAAGTCTGCAATCAAAAATCGGCATGTTTTTCCATTCGCCCTAGAAACAACGTACTTGATGTTTTGGACTGTGTTTTCAAAAACAACATCCTTTTTCATAATTATCACCTTCTTGATCTTGATCAGAGACCAAACATCCTCAGGAGCTTTGTCAAGTACCGCATGAAAACGAATTTTTATATGAGTCCCTTCATCTTTTTCTTTGAAATTCCCTTCAGCTTTGAATTGAGGCATGATAAACATCATCTCATTTATAGGGAAATCCAACTGGAAAGCATTAGAATTTGTGATCACATAACTTTGCTTAGGCTTCTTTTCGATTGTATACATGTGGTTGAAAGAAACCTTGGCTTCAATTGTTTCATAGTTATAGTGTTTTGCTGGATCACCTTTATTCATCCCCTTCGAATCACTAGCCCTCTAAGCCATTATACTTTGAACCATTCTAAGCTTTTCAATCTCAGCTTCAGCCTCAGCATTCTTTTCTTCTTTAGATTTTTCCACAAGAATTGATTTTCCTTTGTCTGTATATACCTCTGTTGGCTTTAAACCACTTCCTCCAGATTCCAAAGGTTTACCAATTACAATTCCTTTCAAAAAAAGATCTTGTAATTGGTAATGTTGTTACAATTGTTGAGGTTACTGGTTCAGCAGACACTATCAATGGTTTGGTTGAAGGGATGTTTGAAGAGAACACCTTGCCCACCACTTTCGGTTCTTCTTCTACTGACATCCTTTATCCCCCTTGCACCCCTGTGAAAACATGAGGGACAGTAGTTGAGGGAAGAAGACTGTATATGCGAAATAGTGGAGCAAGTTGCTTGTTAAGTATAGCTTCGAACTGCACAAACTTCTGGGATAAAAATTTTGGAGTAATCAAAGGAGACGAAACAGGTTTCACTGAGATCTCATTCAATTCCTTTAACAACTTCATCACACCTTCAAAATTTTCACTTTCAGATTTGGAGAGTTGACTTATTTAAGGACTCAAATCTTCAAATAGCTTGACAAAACGAGTTACAGCATCACAAATGATATGGACCTTCTAATGCAAGGATGCATAATCATGCTGAACAGAAAAAATTTCCTTTTTCATATCTTCACGAAGTTCGTGAATTTGTGAGTTAACATCCTCCTTCACTTTCTTCACCTCCTAAACAAAAAGAACATGACGTGCTTTTGTTGTGCTTTTCAAATCTTTAACTTCTCCTATAAAACCATATCTGAGAGATTTAACACGAAGCTTAGAATTCTAATCAGTGTAATCAACCTTCTCTAGAATAGCAGAGTCTGAGGCTTTCAACATTCCAGAAACCTTGTTGATTATTCTTGATTCGAACATCCTGAGCATGGAATCAACCTCCAAAACTGGAAATAGATGAAATTCCTCCAAGATCAGCTTGGGATTGAATGATGGAGTTCAACTTTTGATTAAGAATCTTGTATTGCTTCATTTTCATCAGCAAGTGATCAGGAAATTCTTCTTCATCTTCATTGAATTCCAGATTTTCGAACGTACCTCCAAACCCTTCATTATCAGTGTCGGTCGGTGAAGATGGTTTGGGTGTATCAGTGGATTGAGAAGGAAAAATGGAAGTGAATGGTTGATTGAGGATATGTTCGAAGGTTGGTGAAACAGTGGTTGATGTGAGTGGAATAGTAGATGTTGGTGTAAAGGTAATTGGACCTTGAGCGGAATCTTTCGAACCTCCTTCACCCATGTTGACATTTGCATCCGTATCAGATATGTGTGCAGGGATTCCTGAAGTTCAAACCTCCTCAAAAATTGACTTGGCAATCGAAACTCCAAGTGATATGATAACATTCTGCTCAGGAATGGAACTTGTAATGATAGGAGTGAAATCTCTAGTTTCTGGTATTCGTTCATCTTCGTCTGTAGACTCAGTAGATAAAACAAGCTTGCGAATCTTCTTTATTTTCTTCTTCTTCGGTTGTGAAAAGTGTTTTTCCATATCTTCTGCTACTGGTTTCTTGGAACCAGGAGAAACAGGGTCAGGTACATCATGAATTAAAACCCCTTGCTGAGTAATTTGAGGTTTGCGAACCAGCTTCTGTGATGATGACTTTCGTTTGTGAGTAGACTTCATCTTGATTCTTCTAAACATCCCAGTTTTCGAAGGAATAATAACATTCTCTTGAGTTTCGTCCACCATTGGCTCAACCACATTTGTTTCATCATTTGTCACTTCAACATTTTCAGTTTGCTTCTTTAAAGACTTAGAGGTTTTTGAACCCTTTTTCTTTGGTTCAAGTGAAGTCGGAACAACCTTCTTTGAATTTTTCGATTTCTTTTCTTCCCGTGGCAACAAAATTCCCGTTGGAATTGATGAATCGATTGTTTTCAGATACGCAACTAAAACAGGATTCTTACGATCCACCCTGTTAAGCATCGCATCTGGAATCCGAGCAACTTATGGAAATTCATCGGCATCATCAACAACCTCCTTTGGAAAGTTATAATCATGAAAAGTAACCTTCTCTTCTTTATTTGAAACCAAGATGCCTTATTGTAAAAATGTTGCAGAATAAGGCTCCAGTACCGAGCACACGAAATGCCATGAACAACATTCATATGTTCTACTCCTTTTTGAAATTCCTTCCATAACTGTGTAGAATAATATTTTGGAACATCATAGTATAATCCTGCCACCATGGCGTAAACCTCCATCCATCCTTTGTCTAACCCAACTGTTCTTCCGGTTAAACATCGTAGAAAGACCCCAAACAAGAAATTCCATAGTTTTGGAAGTCCATACTTCTTAAAATCACTTATTTTTTACAGTGGGGGCTGATGTCCCATTTCATTAAACATATGGATTATTTGGGGAAATTGAAATTCAACAAAAGGAGGGGTATTCGAAATATCAAGAATCTGGCAAAGTAGTTTCTTGGAAAGTCTAACCTTTTTGTCCTTAATCAGGAGAAAGCTAATCTAATCAGAGGCTTTGCTATATGTTGCAGTAGATCCTGCTTGAGAAAGCCAGGATATCGGAACTAAAAAGGAATTGAACATGGCTTTTGATAAAACGGAGTGTTTTAAAGCAACAATAAGCATCTTGAATTCCTCTGGACATTGAGAAAGCTCACCATTGACATAATAATTTGTAAATTGAATCTTCATTACTGGAATAGAGGAAATATCTTCAGTTGAAGGATCAACGTGAGCAACAGTTACCATTGTTAGGGTTTGAAGAAGATGAAGAACAGAGAATTTAGGAATGTTTGAGTTTGATCATGTAAACATAGAAAGTACTCTTGAACCCCCTTTTATAAGTAACCTTGAATGATTTGAATTTGAAGCGGGATGCATTTAATGATATCCGACGTGGCACCTTGAAAATCGGACCATTACTGCGGAAAGGTGGCCATGTGTCAAAACGTAATTGTCACTTCTCCTAGAAAACCTGACAGAACACCATACATCATGGATAAACATCCTGTCATTATTCCCCCAAGAGAATTGTAACCATCAGAACCCTTCGAATGGAAGCAAGGCTCTTTCACTTTTGGGATTAAAAGAAAAATCATATGCCAGATGTTCGAAATCATCAGCCTGAGTTGGTATTACTCAGAACCTCAAGGATTTCGTGTGTGCAGTGTTCCAAATAAAGTTAGACAAGAAACAATTTTTTTTTTTGGAATGTAGTGATGTCAAAAATGCAATTTAACACGAAGGCAGTTAAACCCCATGCAAAGGTTTCTTTGTTAATCATCAAGAGAGACGATCAACAGCTTGTGTATGTTCCCATGAAATACAATCAAATACTTTTTAATAAGTATCAAAGGGTTTCTTTGGAAAATTCTTCGTGGGTAGGTTCAAAATTTCGTTACATGTCAACCTAAACATAAGGTGATAAAGTGTAACAGAAACTATTTGTTTGACCAGTGTAGTCAATGACAAGTTGGCTTTGAAATTTTTTAACATAACTGGGACATTCAAATGAAACTCACACTGAAATCATATTCATGAAAGAAATTTGTTTACTGGATCTTGTTGGGTAACAAACAGCGTGGGTTTCGAATGTTTGATCAAGACCACTCATTCGAAATCAATATGATTTGGAGTTTCGAACCTTGGTACAGAAACAAAAGTTTCTTATATATCTGGAACAATGTTCCCCGTCAATTCCTTAATTTGCAAGATGTTTGGGTTTCACTTTCATCACGGACTCATGATGTCAAATCATAAACACAGAGTTGTTATATATCTAAGTCTCGATGGGTTTGATCAGAGACCTCTCGGACATACGTCTTAGTGTGTGATCGTGTAAGAATTTTATGGATGAAAAAGATTGGTAAAAGACACGAAAAGTACCTCTGTTATGCTTTGGACCAAACAGAAAACTCTTTACTCAGTTTGAGAAGAGTAAGGTAGCTCAGAGACTAATGTGAATATAATCCTGATACCTGACCCTTATACTGCTTGCATTCTCCTCTCTGAATCATCTTCATAATCTGCAATAAAATTCTAAAAAGAAGTAAAAATATTTTTGTTGTTTTAGAATTTTCGAAAATAAAAACATAACAAAATAAAATCTTTTTGGATTTTTGATTTTTCGAAAAAAAAAACAAAACAAAAGAAAATCTTTTTGGATTTTTGATTTTTCGAAAATATAAAAAACACAACAAAAGAAAATCTTTTTGGATTTTGAGTTTTCAAAAAATTGACAAGGAAACTGAATTTGTTATATACAGACAAATGACAAATATACGAATTCGAAGCGTTGACTAGGAATAGTAACCACTACCTCAACACTGAAAATAAGTAAAAAAACGTACGAATTCGAAATGTCGAAGCGTTGACCATGAACAGTAATCACTGAATGCTGAAGGACTTTGCTTTATGTTTAATACAGCCCTCTTATTCATTCTTTGTCACCCATCAGTCTTCTTTTTCGCATGGAACAAAATTTCCATCGATCATTCCAAGCCCTTCTATTATTCTCATAAATGACTTTTCATCCAAGGGTCTTGTGAAAATATCAGCTAACTGATCAATTGTTTTCACGAAGTGTACTTCAATGTCCCATCCTCCACGTGATCTTTAATAGAATGATAATGAAGAGCTATGTGCTTAGTCTTCGAATGTTGCACAGGATTATGACAAATTCTTATTACACTTTGAGAATCACAATATAATGGAATCTTTTTCATATTAATTGCATAATCACGTAATTGAATTTGGATCCATATTATTTGTGAAGTACAAGCAGCAGCAGCCACATATTCTGCTTCAACTATAGAAATTGACACACACGTTTGCTTTTTCGACTGCCAACTAACTAATTAGCTATCACGAAATTGACATCCTCCACTTGTGCTTTTTTGATCATGATTGCAACCACCCAAGTATGCATCTGAGTATGCTTGAACGAAGAATCCGGTTTTTGAAGGATACCATATTCCTAACGAAATTGTTCCTTTAAAATAACGAAAAATATTCTTCACAGCAATTAGATGTGGTTCGTGTGGGTTAGACTAATACCTTGCACAATTACACACAGAAAACATGATATCAGGTCTACTTGTTGTAAGATAAAGTAATGAACCAATCATACGCATATACAATGTTATATCAACAGTAGGTTTGTCTAATGATGGTGTTAGCTTTATGACCGTTGCCATTGGTACACGAAGCTTTCTGCTATTCGTCAATCCAAACTTTTCTAGTATATTTTTCGTATATTTTTCTTGATTAATGAAAATCCCTTCTCTGTTTTGACGAATATTCAAGCTAAGAAAATTATTGATTTTTCCTCTCATGCTCATTTCAAACTTGCTTTTCATCAAATCGTCGAATTATCTAAACAAAGCTGGGTCAGTCGAGCCAAAAATAATATCATCAACATAAATTTGAACAAGCATAAGATGATTCCCCACTTTCTTTCGAAATAAAGTGGGATCAACAGATCCTTGTTTAAATTTAGATTGTTTCAAAAATGATGTAAGAGTTGCATACCCTACTCGTGGTGCTTGTTTCAAACCATAAAATACCTTATCTAAAACATAAACATGATTAGGATATTCTTCGTTAATAAAACCTGGAGGTTATTCAGCATAAACAGTTTCTTCAAGCTCTCCATTTAGAAATGCACACTTCACGTCCATTTGACAAACATCAAAATCTTTGTGAGCTGCATAAGCTAGAAATATTCGAACCGCCTCGAGTCTTGCGACAGGGGCAAAAGTTTCTTCATAGTCGATTCCTTCTTGTTGTGAATATCCTTTTACAACAAGTCTGGCTTTTTTTCGAACAATGTTTCCATCTTTGTTGGTTTATTTTTAAAAATCCATTTTAACCCGACAATCGAAATATTTTTAGGTTTAGGAATTAATCTCCAAACCTTGTTTCATTCAAATTATGACAATTCAGATTGCATTGCAACAACCCAATCTAAGTGTTCCATTGCATTCTTAATTATTTTTGGTTCAATTTTAGATATGAAAACATTAAACATGCAAAATCCTTGATGAGTATTCAATACCTCATTCTTTGCACGAATTTGAGCTCTTGTCATTACTCCCTCTTGTGGATTCCCAATTACTTGATCCTTCAGATGATATCTTGTCCATTTTTCCACTGGTGGATATGCTGGATCAAATTCCAAAGGTGCATCTTCTTATAATTCATCATTTTCTGAGCCTGCATTCGAATAAGCATCATCAACATTATGCTCCCCCTTAACAACATGCTCCCCCTCAACTTCAACATCCATTTGATCTGTCTCCCCCAAGAAAGAATGTTCTTTATCATTTAAAGTATTCGAATCCAATTGCTCCCCCTCTACTGGACTGTTTTGCATACTTTGGCTTTGTTGTGAAGTTGATGTAGATTAATCAGTTAACTTTCCAAATTCTGGTATGTGATTTGTCACACCCCGAAAACCAAATGCGGAAACGTCTCCGGGGTTGACTCCAAGTTGTGTATCAATTCCAATGTACATAGTAATCACAGTAAACAAACATTACATTACATATATATATATATATATATATATATATATATATGAAAGTTTACATTTGTTTCAAAAGTAAAGTTATACAAGATATACATATGCATCCTATTAACAAAAGTTGAGACGAGTATTCCACGCACTCCGTCTTCATCAAAAGAGATCACCGGGTACCTGTCTAACTTGGACCTGAGAATACAAGCGGTTTGAAAATCAGCATAAAGCTGGTGAGTTCATAAGCGGTTTTGTTTTATGAAAATGTATCGGTTTCCTTTAATTTCCGAAAAGGTTTGTTATCCAAGAAAATCCCATATTTTCTTATGTGAAGTTGGTTTAGTTATCATGTGTTATCAATTTGATTATGTATTGTATTCTACCCCAGGAAAATCCCATATTTTCCTAATTATAAGATCGGTTGTATAACACAAAGTATAGTT